TTAGTGGCTGAGATTGGAGTTTGGTACCTAACAGGTTAAAGCCACCATCACATACAAATTGCTCAGGAGGAATTCCACTTGAAAGGGGCAGGGGTTTAGGAATAACCAGTGTTGGCAAAAAAGCAGTGTTTCAGTCTTTCTGATGGAAGCAGGTTAGTCTTTATATGCAGTGCAGTCTGCTAACCAAGCACATAAACCTGAGAGAGGCCAGTACCCAGCTCCCAAGGAAAACTGGGCTGATTTGCACAGAAGTGACCACTTAGGTACTTGAAGGACAGCTTTGCAAACACATCCTTTCTTTTGGTGTATGGACCATGATGGTTTTCTTTATTTGCTGCTCCAGTATTACGATGCACGAGTCACAGTAACTCTCAAGGCAAAATGAATTATTGACTTAGAAGGAATCAGGCTGCAGAGCCACTGTATATTTATACTTCCACTGATCTGTACTGTAAATTATACTGGATTCATGTGTGTAACTGGTTAGTGCTGGGGGATAAGGACTTGTTGACATTTTCCCTATAATACCTGGATTCTTTAGTACAGGCAGCTGGATTTTAGACCTTGTTGTCTTTGCTACTCTGTTGTAAATACAGACTCCTTCCTTGGTTTGTGTTCCACCTGATCCTTTGGTAGTTCTGTGGCTGCATCACTGCTGAAAACCGGGCTCCACTGACAGCAGTGTGCCTGCTCCTGTGTGTTAACTCTGTCACACCTTCACACGCCTTTCTCCATGGGGTGCCTGTGTGTAACTTGTGCTCTCTGTAGTAACGTGTTTCTCTGACTCAGAGCTGGCAGCACAAGATGGCCCTGAGCTCCTGCTGCAGGTGGGTGTGATTTAACCCTGCAAGGCGCTGGTGGGCTGACGCAGGCTGGGGTTTGAAGCAGGGTGTTGCTGATGCTTATGGTAGGTACACCTGTATGGACAGAAGGAGGTCAGTGGAACAGCCTAAAATGTTACACATGCATCTAAAATACCCCATTCTCTCTTCAGATGCAGTGTGCAGGTGAGAGTGCAGTCAGCTCTAGTGCTAGTAACAGAACTGTCAGCCCAGTGGGAGCTTCATGGCATTAGTGTAAGAGCCTTACACAACAGAGTCTTCCTCAGCGTGCAGTGGGGTCTACATCCATCAGGTACAACTTGCTTCTTATTTCTGTCACTTAAGTTTCTCAGCTCTCTACAAGAATCTCCCTTCTCTCCAAGGATACCAGCAGCTTTTCCAAGCCTTGCCTCTGTTATAAGTAGCTGACACTGGGTGGTTATTTGCTGGAATAGAAATTCCAATGAGGAAAAACGATGCTCCGTATTAAAAAAAGGCTTAGTTATCCTCAGCTGTGAGTTACACCAAACGGGAGCATCGTGGCCCTGAGGGGTGCTGGGTGTCTGGCCCCTTATTTACATGAATTAAACCACATCATCTCCCAGCCTGAAACCAGCTCCTTCATGAGCTCAGCCTCTTGTGCCTCCAGCCACACGCTCGCGCTCAGCCAGAGCCGGGTTTTCCCTTGCGTGAGGGTGGCTCCTGCCTTCTGTTGCCCAGGAATTACCTGTGAAGGGGCAGTCACTCCCTGCCTGCTCTGCCTGGCACTCTTGCCTGTGTTCATTAGGCAGCCCTGCAGCTTTCTGGGCACAGACACGGTTCCCATTGCACTCAGGGGCTGCTGTACCAGTGCGAGTGTTCCCACTGCTGCCATTGCCCTTCCTTTCCCATCCTGAGTTCCAGGAGCACTTCAGCATTGCCTGGCTGGAAGCAAACACCTCTCCTTGCTGCTAGCGAGGGGACTTCTCAAGTGGTTTGGAGCGGCTGGGCTGACGCAAGGCTGCTGCTTATGAAATGCTATATTGGGAAAGGGAGGTTATTGTTAGCGTGGGTTTCCGCCGCCGCTCCTGCGCGCTGAGCTAGATGGGGTTCTTGGTTTTCCTAATGGAAAGGGAATGCCACCAATAAAAGAAGCCACAATGTGAAACTTAAAGCAACTGCAGCACCGGCTGCACTGATGTGAAAGCATTTTGCAGGGATGTGTTCCTTGCACTTGTTAAGCAGGTGAGGTCCCTTCCGAGCTGCATCCAGCCTGTCTCTGGGACCAGAAAACCAAGGAACAGACATGTACCATTGTAACTGCAGCAGAGCTAAGTGCAGTAGGGCACCACTGCAAAGGGAAGGCACAGGCAGTGCTATGGTGCTTGTGGCAAGCAGTAAGCACTCAGAGCTGCGCCCCTTTACGTCATGGGAATATCCCAAATGGTTTGCCTGTTGATACCCTCGATAAAGGCATTGCGCAAGGAGGATCATCTCCCATCTCCTAGTCATTACTGTGACTCACTGTTGCATTCAGCATCTTCCCAGCTACTGCATTGCCAGCCAAAGCCCAGTGTCCTTGCAATCTGTATCCAAGGTTACAGCATTTTCTACAGCACTTCATCTCAGACCACGTTCCCCCCTTGTTTTGCATAGAGGCTGATGGGCACACTGCTTTTCGCTTCGGTTGTCTTGGATTTCATGACTCTGACTCCTCCTCCTGCATGTTCTTCACTAGGAAACTGGATTTTCTTCCTTGTTTTTAATGTACTTGTTCTCTGAGGCTGCCCTGGGGTTACCTATGGGAAGTGATTTTTATCCATTTGTGTATATTTGGAATTCTACAGGGTTATTTGCTTGGCTGCTTAATGTATATATTGCTTTATCCGGGTGTATTCCCAATGCATCCGTGCTTACCTGTGCACTGCAGTTTCTCCACGGGGGAGCTGGGGAGCGAGCAGAGCATCCCCAGCCCATTCCCTGCCCATCCATTCCCATGTCATGGTTGAGCATCTCCCCAACCTTGCTGAGGTTCTTTGTGGGGTGGGAATTGTTCCATTCTATGCTTGGCTCTTCCTCTCTGGCAGCAGCTTCTCTTCACCTGGCTTGGTTTGAGCAGCCCCTTCCTTGACACTGGTGTAGTGACAGTGAAATTCAACCTAAAGGTGGGACGTGGCTCCTGAGAAGCCAAGGAGTGCTCCAGTTCCCGGTTAGCTCGTATCAGGTGAATCAAACTGGAAACAAAACCTGCCTTTGCAATAAAAGCTGCTATTGTACAAACTGCTTCTCTCAGAAAGATCTTTGCTCTGTATGGAATCCATATTGAAATATAAATGTCCTGATTTAATGAGGAGAAGGGGTCACAAAACTTCTCTTTGCTTTGTGATCTTTACCCTGCCTTGTGGGCGAGCGTTGGGGTTTTGTGATCAGCGGTTGGAGCAGCTTTGGTTTGTGCAGTGCTGGAGTCCCTGCTGGTGCTTTAAAGCCTATGAGAAGGACGTGATGGACTTTAATACATTGTGAACTCCCTTGATTCCTGCAATAGGTTCCACATCCTGTGTTGAGATTCAAACCTTGGATTCAATAAAGAGCCTGTTCCCTATCTGACCGACCTGTGAAGTGGCTTGTTCCGGGATGTTCCAGGATACAGCTAGGAAAAGCTTTGGGTTTGGTGCTTGTTGATGCCACAGGTGTCATCTCCATGGGGGAAGCTCCTCCATGGGAATACCTGGGCAGGGAGAAACCTTCCTGTGGCAAGGAAAACACTGGTCTCAAGCATCCTTTGTTGAATGAACCCAAGAGGGACTTCTGCAAAGAAACAGCCACAAGTATTAATACCGCGGCGCTGCTCCGTAATAGAATCCCTAATGGATATTTCAGGTGGATTCTTCATTTCCCAACGTGCTTTATTAGGCAATTACATTGGTTTTATAAGGTTTAACTTTCCCTTTTGTTTAAAAGTCTCCCTCTTGATGCTTTCCTGGCTGATCAGCAGGCTCTTCCCTTTCCCTGGGTACTAGGGCTTTATACTGGGTATATAATCTATATAATACTACAAAGCAGAGAATTTCACCCTCCCAGCTCTTACATAGACAATAGTGTTAAATCAGACACAGTCCTTTTGTAGGGGAAGCTTACTTTTGCAAGCAGACCCCAGGTTTTGTGTGTCTTTGCCCTTTGAAAGGTCAGGCTCCAGCCTCATGATCAGCCTTGATTTTTCCCCTCTAGTTCCTTTTCTCACTGCCCCTTTCCCTGGTGTAACCCATGGTAAAAATAGAGAGATGAGCAGAGAGTGGTTTGTAAATGGATGGTCTCCTGTGTCTGTCACTGAAACCAGGACACCCAAACTGCATGCAGCTGGTGGCAAAACCCCCCTTTTATTCCAGTGGGCTAAAAACTCCTGCTTGCTCAGCTGCAAAAGCAGGAGGAAACTTCCCTGTGCCAGCCTGGGGCTGCGCTTCCCACTCGTGATGCTAAAGGATGTGTTGGTGTTGGTGGGGAAACTGGTGTGGAAGTATCTGGGGGGGTTATGTGCGGTTTTGTCTAAGAGCATCCTGGATAATGGCTGAGAGAAGGGTTTGGAAGGGGAATGGGGGGAATAGCTAAGACGTTTTGGCTCTGGAGCCCTGGCAGGGTTGAGTTTGCCCTAACTCGTTTCACAGCGGTGTCTGCACGTGCAGGACGGGCATTAATGCAGTGCTGAAGCTGTGACCAGCCCCATGACTTCCATGCCCACAGTGGTTGGGAGCACAAACCCCCTGGGTAAGTGGCCTTGGGCCCAATGTGAAGCTGTGAACCTGCACAGCCATCCTCCCTGGGAACACTGCTCTGTGCAGTGAACTTGAAACCTCTGCTCAACGCCTCTGCATCCAATTCACTCTGTTCCAGGCTTTTATCTTGGAAAAGACCATGAAGATCAGAGAGTCCAAGACTGTTCAGTGTGGAGCAATCCTTTAACCACATCTGCTGCTCCTTAAAACCTCAGCTTCAGCTGGGGCTAAATGAGATAAAACCTTCGATACAGCCAAACGAATGGCCTGGGGTTTGTGACGAGGCCCAGGGATTGCAGGACACCCACATGGCTGTAAAGTGATGGGCACAGCCCACAGCATCTTCCTCAAGACTGAGGTTCAGTGTTACACCATGTTCTGGCTGTTACTTGTGTTGCATTAGTGCGGTTCTGAAGAGGAAACCAACACATGTTCTTCTTTAATCTTTATTGATTTTTGTTGTTTTACAAGTATAGAATCTCATTTAGATCAGCTACCTCAGCATCCAGCAATCTGCTTTTCCTCCTTCAGAGATGCAACAGAGGACACAAGCGTCTCGGCGAGGAACGGGCTTGCCTTGCTCTCCCCATGGTCCTGTCAGTGCTTCAATGGAGCAGGCAGCGGCTCTGCCATGGGGAGGCTTCACCCACACTGGGGTTGGAATCATTCTCCTCGCAGGCAGAACAAGGCAAAGCCTTCTCCATGAAGCCATCCTTGCCCGGGAGGGTGAGCAGGTCACCGTTCTGCGCAGAGCAGCTCTAGAATGCAGCATAACCTTGAGGACGTGGGGATGTAGAAATGGGCTAAGGCAGGTCACGACCGTGCTTAGGGCTCAGTAATCAAGAGGATTTGCCTAATTCCAGCTTCCTGGCAGGTTGATGTTGGATGACAAGGCCCAGTCCCTTCGAAGGTGGCCATGCACACAGAGTCCCCTGACCATCTCTCTGGCTGTCCAATGTGGGCAGGCTCAACCTCTCGCTCTGTCTTGAGCCACGTTTGGACCAGATCTCTGCTTACTTCCCACCCACCAAAGAACGCCAGCAGTTTTCAGTAGTGCATCCAGGACTATTGCCCTGGCATGGAAGGAGTGAAAAAGGATCAGGTATTATTTGCTCTGGATCGTTGGAGTTTTGTGGCTGACAAAGACTGACCTCACTCTTTTTATACTTTCATTGCGTTTTGGGTTGGGTTTTTTAACTTTTAATACAGATGAAGAGCTAACTAAAGATCTCAAACACTACATACTGAGAGTCACTACGGGTGGTAAAGAAAACACCAGCACTAGCACCCCAACACCTGCCTCCCTCTTGGAAGAACCCACCACCGCAGAGCAGGACCTCGCTCCTCCCGTGCTAGTGCTGCTCCCAAGCTTCTATGGGGATCTGCAAGGAAGCAAATAAGCTATAAACAAAATACCCAGGCTACCGCATCCCAGAGCGCGCTTTGTTCATCAGCTCTGCCAAAGCCTTGCTGGCCTTTCCTCCTAGGATACTCATAAACTGACTAAAAACAGGGGGAGGCTTTATGGAAGGGGTAAACTTATAAGGAGACCTCATTCTAAATCAGAGAAATGCGGGCGGGGGGAATCCCTGTAGAGAGAAATGCTTTGGAGGGGATCGTTGGCCTTGCAGGTTAGTGAGGTGAGAATTAGCTGAGGTTCTGCTGTATGGTAAAGAACCCCAGTTGGCTGTAGAAGGAGAAGGGAATGTCCCAGTCTGGTTGACTCAGAACAGCGCGTCCCTTCTGTTGTGCTCCCCGTCTGCAGTCCCATTAAATCCCCCAGTAAGGCATCAGGGGTCTCCTCTCTCTCTCATAAACGTCTGGGATGATGCCATAGGGTGTCTGTACCATTTTAACCGTCGTCTTCCCAAAGAGCTTCCTCTCGTAGTCTATCAGTTGCCTCCAGAAGCCCACGTTGGGGCGTATAACGGGGCGCCTGGACTTGACCCAGTTGTAGGCCTCGAAGAGGGACACCTTGTGGTACTTCATCAGGTAGGCGATGCAGAGGGTGGCCGACCTGCTCACGCCGGCGGCGCAATGGACTAAGGTGGCCCCGTGCTTCCGCGCCACGCTGTTGATCTTGTCGGCGACGCTGTCGAAGTAGAGGGAGATGGGAGCGTTGGGCATGTCAGCCAAAGGCACTTTCACGTATTCAAACTGGGGCCAGTTGAAGTTGGGGATCTCGATGGTGGCATTGATGATGCAGGTGATTCCCCGCGAGAGGAGCAGGTGCCGGTTGGAAGCGACGCTGCCCCGGCTCAGGTACAGCGAGGGGGTGATTTGGGCAATGCCCCCCAGGGCACCTTCAGAAAGCATTCGTGGAGCCATCAGAGTTCTCGGTAAGGAGTTGTGGCTTCTGGAGGTCATGGAGGAGCTTGGCACTCACGCTTCCATTATGGGAAGAGATCCAACGGGATCTTCAGCCAAGGGGAAGGATGGTCTGGCTTGATGGCGCAAGGACAGCGAGGGTCACTGCAAAACACAAGCAAGGTCACATGAGCTGATGGAGGAGACCGGGTCTGGGCATGGGAAGGGAAAACCCAGCTCGCCCTGCTGGGGCCTGGCAGAGCTCTTTGGGTCTGCACCCAACTTATTCCCAAGGGGCCCCCGGGCACTGCCTGGACAGATCCTCCCCAAAGCCTCTTCCAGCCTAATTAGCTCCAATTACTCGTCAAGGGTTGAGGCAGGTACCTGTGGGCCTGGTTAGCACATGGGAGATTACCTCTGCCTGCCCCATGCTCAGAAGCAGCAACTCCACAAGTGGCCCTGGTCCAAAGGGATGGGGAGAACCTGCTGCAGATGCCAGCAGCTCCCACAGCCCTGCCCTCGCCCAGTGCCACCCTGCTCCTTGTTGAGGTGCAGGATTGGCCCCACCAAAGCACACGGGCAGCAGAGAGCTGCTGGGTGGAAGGGCCGTGACTCACGTCCGTCCGCATCACTCAGCGGCGCTCGGCTGGGCTGGGAGGTGTGGAAAGAGTGACCTGGTTCTGTCAGGAGCTGCGAGGAAACCCGAAGCACAGGCTGGGACACGGGAGGCTCTCTTCTGCTCTCATGACTGAGTAATGCTTTGGAGACAGCCTCAACTCTGCAGAGGCTTGGGCTTGCCTGCATGAGCCACGCATCCCTGGCTGGGGCACCCAGGAAGGAGCCCCACTTCATTTCCCCACTTCCTTTAGGGCTTCTTGGAGAAGGGGATGAGCCCTGGAGCATCAGTCCCAGTCCCTTTTAGCTCTGTGTTCTCCAGCCAGAGATGGGCCATGGGAACGCTCCGGCCAGTGCACGCTGGGGACTCCCTGCTCTGCCCAGGTACCTCTGAGCCCAGCAAAGCATCACTGGGCACCACACCGAGGGGACCTGGGGACCACTTTGTCCCTGCAGCCATTAACTGTGGGTCAGAGGGTCCTCAACGGGCTGAGAGCCCCCTCCTGCAGCCCTGACACAACAGCAGCGCCCTGCCTGCATCCCGTGCTCCAGGAAGCAGCGCCTTGTAAAGCTGCCAGGGGATTTTTGGCACTGCTTTGTGGTACAGGAACTTACTGAGCATAACACGGGCTCCTCTGAGCCCTGTCCCTGCTGGCACTGACTGGAGCAGCCCCTGAACCATGGGCCCAAAGCTTCCCCTGCAGGCACCCCAGTGCAGCACGCAGGGAGAGCAGCAGGGAAAGCAAGGCACGTTCAAGCCCTTTGAGCAGGGGGAATCAAGCGGCTCTTAGTGGTAACACAAAGGGTTTGGGCACTTACCCAGATCACCAACGGGCTCAGGGGTGTGAGGGGCTGCTGACAGGGGGATGTCTCACAGAGCACGTCCAACGCTGAGCTGGGGAGAGAAGAGAGTTCACTGGGTTTACTGGGATCTGTGCTGGACCCAGGCAGCCCCTCTGCTGCAGTGTGGTTAACCCCCAGTCCGGGTGCTGGTCCAAGAACTGGGAGCAGCATTGAAGTCACTCAGCAGAGCCTGAGCTGGCACAGAAGTCAGGGCTCAGACACACTAGTTTAAGTAATTCATTTGCTCCCCAGATGGGGATTTTAATGGCTCACCTCCCCTGAGGATGGCAGGGAAGAGTCAGCACAGGGTGACTGCCGGAGCTCCTCATCCTGCTCACAGCCAAGGGCCTCTGGTGCAGGGCAGAGCATCCCAGGACTCACCTGCCCTACATCCATGGGGCTGCAGCCGCTCCCCACAGGCACCCAGGGCGCTCCTCGGGGCGCTTTGGGAAGGGCTTCGGCTGCTTTCCATAAAGTGGTTCCTGTTTGCAGGCATTTGCATGTGAGAGGCTGGGCTCGCTCTGCAGACCCAGACCGGGGTGCACTGAGCACCACAGGGTCAGTGATGAGCAGCTTCCTGCTATGGGACACACTGCTCCATTGGGGTGTCCGTCTGCCCCACCTCTGCTTCCTGCCGCCAGCACAAGGGGAATGGGATGGAACTGGGGCCAGGCCCGTAGTCCTGTGTCCCAGTCACACACCTCCCATTAGACCATGTCCAACCTGGCCCTGAGCACTGCCAGGGATGGAGCATTTACCATGTCTCTGGAGCTCCCTGTGGCTCCAAGGGGCTGGCACTGGGCAGCAGGAACCAGAACTTAAGGAGTTAATGTTCTGGAGCACAGATCCTTATGTAAGCAGGAGATGAGGCTGCTGCTGCCCAGCAGGAGCAGATGCAGGGGGAAGGATGCTCTGGAGAGCGGCAGCCCCGCATCCCTGTCCCGTGTCCCACAGCAGGAGCGGGCTGGGATGGAGGCGTGTGACAGAGCCACGGTGCCCACACGAACCGGGCTGAGCAGCTCCTGAATGCAGGAGCCTGGGAATGGGAAGGAGCCTCCTGGGCCATCAGCACATGAGGAGCTTCCAGCAGGCTTGTGGCTGTGAGCCTCCATTCACCCCTGTAGCTGCCCCTGCCTGGCCCCAGCACTGAGGCTGCCTGAATCCTGTCCTGCTCCCATCGAGCTCCCTTTGCCTTTCCCAACGCACCCCCTGGTTCAGCCGCTTGGCACCATCTCGTGTGACACAAACCCCACAGCTCCTTGGCGTGAGTTTCTGAGCAGCTCCATCCCAAAGGCTGGTGCTGGGCTGGTAGCAACCAGGTGCTGCTGCTCCCGGCCTCGTTTGCAGAGCCCATTCTAGTGATTGGGATCATTCATCTTGTAGCACCCAGCAAATCCCTCCCTAGGCTCTGCCCTGGTCTTCCCCATGCACAGGGACCACACTGCTGGGTGCAGGGGGTCCCTGTGGGCAGCCTCCTCCCTCCCCAGCAGATTGATGGCTTCAGCCTGTCTCCCATCTGGATAATGAAGGGGCGGGGGAACCAAGTGGGTAATTACAGGCTCTGGTCCTCAAAGCCTTCAGCTCCTCTCCACACAGCTCCTGGCCAGCATCCTCCATGGCTGGGACCTCATCCTGCACCCACCGGCTCTCGCTGCTCAGGTAAGTGCCTGGCTCCTATGGGGCACTGTGGGTTCCTGCTGTACCTCTGGGTTGTGCTTTGTGTGGTTCATCTGTGGTCAGGTCCATAGGGAGATGGGGCAATGGTTGCTCCCATGGGAGGCTGGTAGTGTGTGATGCTGGTCTGTACCCCACCTGCGCTGGAATTGCTGCCATCAGAGTGCCTAAAAGCAGTACCAGGATGCTGCTGGGATGGGTTGTGCATCCAGTGGTCTCCATTGCCCAAGGGCTTGCTGCTGGCAATGCTCGTGGCTCTGTTCTTCCAGGTCTTGCTGAACTGGAGTTTGGTTCTCTTGCTTTTGTTCCCTGGAATGCATCCTGCTGACAAAGGCTGAGATTCCCACAGGAAAGCATTCCTGGTTCCAGGACCTCCTGAGAGAGGCCTCAAAGCACCTCTGAAAGCTTACAAGACAGAGGCAAGCAGGCAGATGTTAGTTAACCACGCTGTGATCCCTGGGCCAGGAGGGGAGAGCCCTGTTTGTTGGTCTCTAGACAATGAGTTGGCCAGTCTGAGCTCTGCTCGCTTGTTCTGGTGCTGCTGGATGGTTCCTGGGATGCTTTGGGGGGGGATTTTCCCTTTCCTAAGGGCCCTGGCTTGCGTGCAGAGGCTGTGGCTTGGTTCTGAGGGGCTTGGAGTTAAGACTTGCAGCTTGTGTTGGATTCTGGCAGCAGCACGGCGCTGGGCTGGACCTGGCAGAGCTGGGAGCATCCTCAGGCCCTTCTCCCCCTGGACCATGTGGGGCTCTGCAGCTGTGTGACTCCAGGACTCATCCCGCTCTGGCCTTGCTGCAGAGGCACTGGTTGATCCCAGAGCATCCTGTGGGGCTGGAGGCAGGGCTGGGGCCGGGTCTGTGCCGAAGCAAGAGGAGAAGTGGGAAGATGACAAACGCTCCCTAGCGCTGCAGTGAGGAGGGGTCAGTACTGCAGGGGTGGAGGAGCGAGCTCAGGGCTCTCCTGGCCAGGCTGAAGCCATTTGCTGCTCAGAAATGGTTGTGGAGAGCAGCACTGAACGCATCTCAGCAGAGAGCACAGACCGCAGCCATCCCCAGGGTCAGGGCCTGCTGGTGCTGAGGCCAGGGGAGCCCCAAGGGGTGCCTGCTTACCCTGGGTATCACCTACACCCTTATCCAGCAGTCACCCGGCAGAGCCGAGGGGAGGATGTGTGGGAACTGCTGGTTCTTGTGCTCCTCTTCCCATCCACTTGCTGTGCTGGGTCTTTGCTTCCTGCCTTTGGCTGTTGTCACAGCCTCCTCTTGGGCATGGTTCAGAGCCATCAGCACACGAGGGATGAGTGGCTTGGATTTGAACTGGGAAGCAGGAGGGCACACACTGAGGCTAATGGAGGATGCCTGGGCTGAGCCCTCATTGATTCCTGTGTTATCCTGGGTTCCAAAGCTGTGGGCAGGCCTGGCTGCCTGTGCAGCACCCAGCAGGACCCTGTGCTTGCAGCCACACACCAGTAACTTCACAGGGGATTCAGGCACAGGTCCTGGTCTTAGCCTTGCTCAACAGCCCCAGATCAAACCCATCTACTCCATGAGCACAGCCTTGTGCCAAGGTGCAGCTCTGCCTCCTCCACACAGCTGGAATTCGGGCTGCTCCCATGACCGGAGCCAGCTCTCAGGGCTGATGATTCCCAATCAGCCTGTCCCAGCCTGCTGTGATGCTGCCTTTGGAGGGGTGACAGCCCCATGGCAGCCCATCTCCCTTCCATGGGCACCAACAGCGTGCCTGCTGCTTGGGGAACAGCAGGACCTCAAACCCCTCCTGCACACGGGAGCAGTGTCCTTGCTCTTGCAGGCACATTACCCCATGGAGCAGTCTGTGAGCAGGTTAATGCACTGAGGGAGCTTGTGAGGGGTTAACCAGCGACTGTAAACAGCATGGGTAGCACTGCAAGCGTTCACAGACCATCAGGGCATACGTTATAGTTGGAACCTGTTGGGCTGAGCTCCCCTAAACGTCTGGCAGCGCTCTGGATCCCTCCCTGCTCTGCCAGCCAAAGCCTGGCTCCTCATTTCCCATTCTCCCAGCACCAAAGGAG